AGGCAGCACCACCTGTCATATGACTCTGCCATGCCAGGGAAGTTAGTGTGATCAATGACCTAGGTCTTGTTTAGACCACTTGGTGATGGTGTCCCACACCATTCCATCTGTTTTGATCAAGAGCTATGCATTTGAGCTTGGGAATATGGAGAATGCAGTGGGTTGGGGACTTTGAGGTGTGAATATTTCTATTTCCTATTCATTTCACATTCATGTTTGGCTGGATCCCAGATGGACACATTATATGGGATCTCAGAAATGGTAATGCTTCACAAGGCATGCCTCCCAGGACAAGCCCTACTAAGCAGAACTGTTCCTCTACACCAAGCCTCAGACAACTAGGTGACTAATTGTTGTTGATGTGCATGAGTAAAGGGTGTTTTGGAGAAAGAAAAATACTCGAAGTACAGAAAATACGTGTTCATCTCCACGTGTTAAGCGGTTGAAGTGGTAGCCAAGAGATTTTCATGGATTCTCGTGGGAAGTTGTGGGGGTAGTTCAGGGATCTGCTATTCTTGGGCTGCATACCCTCAACCAACCACAATTCACTGCCATCCCCAAACTGGTTTCCAGTGGTGACCCAGCCCTACAGATAACCAAGAGCAGACACCTCCCAGCTAGAACAGGTTCTGCTTGTGGCTTGGTGTGCTCGGAGGCCCAGCATATTCTAGAAACTTGGCCATATTAATATCTTGAAGAGGATGCCTTGCCCAAGACTCATTAGAATATTTTATGATATTCTCTTCGCTCCCCTGAAAGATGGTGAAATCCACTTCCATAAACCTACTGTCTTCTGTAAACCTCTTCTCTATTCAAGACATTTCTGATCGGTTCAGGCATATTCTAAGTATTTTTAGATATCCATTTTTCCCCTATACTTTGAGTTCTGTTGACCTGATGTTAAAATGTGCTATTGTTCCTATTTTATTACTGTCTAACATGTAATTAAATATGCCAAAGCGGTCAACAGTTTTGTACCTTGTTGTTTGAGATGATGAAGACCTCAAAGACTTTTTTCTCTTCCATCTATTTAAAAACTCCAAATAATCTTGAAACAAATATAAAAACTGGAGACTAATCTCTTATTGCTCTTAATTTATTGCATGGATCTTTGCCCATTAATAACTGTCTTCAGTATTAACATTAAGATGGAAATCAGTCACTCATTCTAATAGTATCCTTGGAAATCCTCATTTATTTCCAGTTGTTTAGTAGGGACTTGGTGATTCTACAAGAAAGAATTGTGTTTTAGTCCGTTTTGTGTTGCTACAACAGAAATACGTGAGACTGGGTAATTTATAAAGGAAAGAGTTTTATTTGGCTTACGATTCTGGGACAGCTGCATCTGGCACGGGCCTCAGGCTGCTTCTACTCATGGTGGAAAGTGGCAGCCAGAGGGTACAAGCAGATCACATGGCAACAGGAAGCAAGAGAGAGAACGAAGGTGACAGGGTCTTTTTAAGCAACAAGTTCTCACGGGAACTATTAGAGCGAGAACTCACTCATTAATCTCCCTTCCCCCAGGGAGAGCATTAATCCATTCATGAGGGATCTGCCCCCATGACTCAGTTTCCAGCACTGCCACATTGGGGGATCAAATTTCCACATGAGTTTTGGAGGGGACAACACATCCAAACTCCATCAAATTATAACCTCCATTTTCTTGGTGCTTCAAAATTTATGAGGAGTTCCACAACATTATCTCATTTTTTGTATGTCAATAACACCAAGTTAGACAAGCCAGAATTATCCCCATGTGGCATATGTGGAAACTGAGGCTTGCCCAAACTTGCTGAGCTGGAAAGTAAGTGGTGCCATCAGGACGTGAGCCCCAGCTTCTGCCTCCAAAGCTCATGTCCTTCCCATAACCTCAGGCTCGCTTCCCCCTTGACCCTGGCTAAGAAACACAGCAGATGGCGCGATGGGAGAGGCGGCATGGATGGATCAGGATGGACGCATCCACGCTCCCAGAAAAATAACTCAAAGCACACGTCCTAGTGATGGTGGGACTGTGGCACATCTTCACATTCAGTAGAGAGGACATGTAATGCAGAAATGATGCTTTGATAACTGACCAAAACTGTTTTGAAGCTTGGAGTGTTAACGTATTAGAGAACATGAAGCCGCGAAGGACAGTCAGCTCTAGAATCTTAAGAGGAAAAGCGCATGGCGGGGGAGGCAGGGCCGGGAGAGAAGATGCGGCAAGTCTCAAAGACACCACCCCCACCCCCGTTCCTCTCCATTGCCCGTCACCAGCCTGGGTTGAGTGAAGCCGCCTTTAGGAACCCCTTGGTAGTCCCCAAACACAACCTCGTTTCCTGGTGCCTTTGGGTAAGTTCTTTTTAAAATTAATCCAGGGGTCCCAGCCCAGTCTCTCTCCCCCACTGCAAGACCCCATTGCAGTGGTCCCTGTGCCTCTTAAATAATTTCTGCCTCACTGTCTTTAAAATAAATCAATTAATTAAAAGAAGTAAAATTAAGTCCAAATATCTCTCCCTGTAACCTAATTCCTACTCATCTGGTTAGTTTCAGTTCAAGTGCCACCTTTCCTAGGAAGCTTCCCCCTCCTCACACTCACGTTGGGCCCCTTCCTTTGGCATTGCTGGATTTGGGGGGGAAGGGAGGCATGCTTGGAGCATTGAGACCATGTCATTTCTTTGGTGGAGGAGGCACGGTCTCGGGAAGAGCATAGGATCGAGGGCCAGACCTCCCTGACTGTGTCATTTGACATCCCTGGAACCTCAGGTCTCAGCGCGGTTTCCCTGACAGCTGACAGATGTCTAAGTGGAGTGTGCTCAGCCGTCTGCGGATTTTGTTTTACAAAATAAATACATGAATTAATTCATCTTTTATATCCACTCTCGATCACAACTGTGGCTTGGATATAAAGTATGGAACAGGTCTCCCTTTCAGATGTACAACAAATGTATATAAAAAGTCATGAGAAAAGATGACCTCAGCTCTTGAAACTTGTAAACATTTCAGCGATCTCACTCTCGCGGGGAAATCTGTAATTCTTCTTTTTCAGACTTTAAGCAGAGCTGACAACCATTTGTGCTCTCTGTTTGAAGTTGTATTTTTTTTTTTTTTGAGTCAAGGATCTTTTTCCAGGTTCAGCTATTTCCTTAATGAAATTAATATTTCTCACACAGTGGTTTCATGCAAACGTGCTGGAGACGTCTGGGGTCTGGATGTTGTTCCTGGAATGTTTCCACATAAGGAGAATTTTAGGAAGGGGCACCCAGAATCCTACCCTATCCAGTGGTTCCAGATCTTTTCTGGCCTTACCCTTCCTTTGTGCACTTTTCATAGGGTGTGTGTGTGTGTGTGGGTGCACACGTGTACAATTGCACACACTCACGCACCTTTGACCCCTCATTCGAGTGATTTAAGTGGGGGGGAATGAAAGAGCCTGCAGAGTTGCCTGAGTGCTTTTCTTTAGTTGTGTATGTTATGAGAGGAAACAAAATAGAGGAAAACTCCAGCCAAGCGTGGCTGTTTCCTCGTGTGACTGCCCCAAGAGAGTTCGTCCTTACCTGGGCCCTGCCGCCCTGTCTCCCTCTCACAGGGAGAGTTGACGTCTGGGGAGCCCCAAATTTTCACCAACTACTAGATGTATCCTTGGACAGTGTATTTCTTGTAATACACATTCAGAACATGAACCTATCATTTCTACAGCTTTTCTCTCTAGACCTTCTATGTAACTCTGTTCTTAAATGTAAGCAGGAGCCTGGGACCATGAACTGCATTCAAAGCTCAGTAACCCCAGGACACATGGGAACCAGGATCCCAGGCTCTGGACGGAGCCTATGAGGAGGACTAAAGGGCGGGTTAGAAGTCAGGTGGCCATGGGGCTGACCCAGCTTGGAATGGGAAGATGGCCTGAGGAAGTGGTAAGTGCAGGTGAATCTAGCTGGGGTGCAGAGAAGGAAAGGACAGGAGTTCCAGAGGAGCTGGGATAATTGCAGGGGAGACCGGCTGTGACAAGCATGCCCTCTGGAGCTTCATTGACCTCCCATCTGGCGCTGCCACATACCAGTTGTCATTTAACCTCTCTGTGCTTTTGTTTCCTCATTGGTAACATGGAGAGGATAATAGAACCTCTCCGTAGGGTGGTGTGAGTATTTAAGTGAATTAATGTGTATGAGGGTACTTCAAAAAGTTCATGGAAATATTTTTTCTTTCAATTCTGTTTTTCCACGAACTTTCTGAAGTACCCTTGTATTAAGTGCTTAGAACAATGCCTGGCACCGAGCAAGCGTTATACGACCATTAGCTGTTATTACTGCTGCCACTGCTGTGTGTGTTATCGTAATTATTATGATTGTCATCGTCACCGCTGCTGTAGTGCTGTTCATAAGGACTATAGAGTTGTATTAAGTGCTTAGAACAATGCCTGGCACCGAGCAAGCGTTATACGACCATTAGCTGTTATTACTGCTGCCACTGCTGTGTGTGTTATTGTAATTATTATGATTGTCATCGTCACCGCTGCTGTAGTGCTGTTCATAAGGACTATAGAGTTATCGTAGTCTTAGGATGGAGTTATAATAATGGCTACTAAATCCAGGCAGGGTAACAAGCAGCATCTTCACTTGGTCTTGTCTCCTTTTTGGACACCAGACATACATTTTTCCTGTCTCTATTGAGTGAAAAAGTGTCTGTAAGAACGACTACTTCATTCCTAACGTTTTTGATAAGAGCACCTGACAGGGAAAGCCGTTCTTCTGAAGGGCCTAAACCCCTTTCAGGTGGCTCATTGTCTCATTTTTTTTACTGTTCATGGTCTTCAATTTAGAACCTTAATTATGCTCTACAGCATCCATTGCCTGTGGGCGCAGAGAGTCCCATAAACAGTCAGACACGTTCCCATCTGGGCGTGTGTGGGAGACAGAGGCACGCGTGGGACAGTGAGTCCCTGTTGCTGTGAGTGGCAGGGGGTGCGGCGAGGTGTGAGCCAGCACTGATGGGGCTCACTCTGCCTGTCCTTTCCCTCTTAGATGACTATGCCCAGCTGTGTAACATCCCCGTGACCGGACGCCGGCGGCCATACGGACGGGATGCCTTGGTCGACTTTAGTGAACAGTACGCCCCAGAAGCCGATCCCTACTTCATTCAGGATCGTAAGCAAAAGTGTTCTGTTACTTTGAAACAAACTGTGGTTCAAGATGACTCAGTGGCCTTCCCTGAGCTGTTGCTGTACCCTGAAGCTCAGCCAGCTCAGATTTTATAAAAATGAATTAAAGCCTCAAAAACAAAAAAGACAGTGACTGGTTCTCAAAAAGTGATCCCTGGGAACTTGTTAGGAATGCAGATTTTCAGGCTCCACCCCAGACCTGCTAACTGGAAAGTCAGGGGTTGGCCCCAGCTGTCTGCATTTTACAAGCCCCGGGTAATCCAGCACATGCAAGTCTGAGAACCACTGGGTTCCGTGTCTTGCTGGGGGTGGGGGGGACTGTCATGTTTACTTTCCTTAAAGAAAATGATCTTTTATAACAAAGTCGTTTCTTTTTACTTCAAGTTGTCTAGTTTGAGGGCTGGGATTTCCTTGAGAGACTGGTTGTATTGTAGCTTTTTTTTCATACAAGGAAGTGACAAATATTAACTACACCAAGTTGATCTTCACACGTGTCTTAGAGTGGGAGGTTAAAAAGAAAATTGCTTTCTTGATCAGAAATGAATTATTAGAAAACACTCATGAGGGGATTTATTCAGTAAGAAATGATGTGTGCTCTGGATTCATGAGCAGAGCTTTCGAGAGGGAGGTGAGAGTATGTCTGTGCAAATCGTGTTCACTCTTAGGAAGAAAATGCCACGTGAGGAAACGTACAAAACACACAGCTCATGTGTGTTTGTGTGGGGAACTCAGAGCTTTCAAATACAGAACAGAGGTTTGAAGTCTGAAAACTGGGGCAGTCCAGAATGAAATATTAGTGGATAGCAGGTTGTCTTACATCACGAATGGGAAAAAGGAAACTGATTCCACAAGCCTCGTCCACATCTTACAGAAGGCCCTCCTCATGGCTGTAGCTGCACCAAATTCTCAAGATAGGGAAGCCCCGCAGACCAAGGAGTTTGCAGTTAGGACTTTAGAGACGCTGCTGAATTGCAGAACACAATGAAGCTTTTTCTTTCTTTGGGCCCTGTCACTTGTGCAGAAAGCTCACTAGCCGGGACCTGGTTCTTGAGGAGCACCACAGCTTTGTAGTTGGATTTAGGAGCTGTTTCAATTCTGAATCAACGTGCTTTGTTTTCCTTCCCTTCCCGTTCTCTTTTCTCTCTTCCCCTCCCTTTCTCTCTCCCTCCCTTCCTTTTGTTTTTTGAAGGATATAGTGTATTGATCATCTAGCAGAATTAAGAATGTTTTAAAATGTACATGAAAACAAGTCTGTTAATCCACCTTTGTAACCCCCACCCAGGTCAAGGGCATCACCAGCATCCAGAAGGTTCCTGGTGCCCTCTCCCCTCCTAAGGGTAACCACGAACCTGACTTCTAACACCATAAACTAACCACACTATTTCTTTTCATCAACAGCACATAACCATGCACTACCTCTTAAAATGGGCCTGATGTACTCACAGCTATAAGACTGCACAACACCATAAACTAACCACACTATTTCTTTTCATCAACAGCACATAACCATGCACTACCTCTTAAAATGGGCCTGATGTACTCAGAGCTATAAGACTGCACACTTAAGGCTTATACACTTCACTGTATATGTTATAGGCCAAAAATGTTTACTTAAATAAAAAGGATAGAAAAAATGTTAAAGTTGAAATAAAACCCAGCTTGCCCCATTTATGCAGAAATACCAGGTTTAGTCTACATGCAACTCTGACACAATCCCATGGCTTATGTGGGTAGTGTCTATTGCACTGTAGTTCAGATTCCAAGAATTTTAATGTTGAAGTGTCTGGCTTACGTACCTTCTTTTTAGTGCTGACATTGTTTTAAAGCTCTCTTTTAATTCACTACAAATGTTAAGAAATAAACATGTTGGTGTCACATCAATTTCCTATTTAGCAATATGGGAAGTTGAGATGCAATTCCAGGACCTCCCGCTTTGACTATGTAATGGCCTTTAAATTTCTTACAAGTTACAGAGAAATAGCTCTCCTCTTCCCAGCCAGTTTTCTGACCAACAGCAAGGGCTTTCTGGCCTTGCTGCAGAAATGATCGTGTTGAATAAACAGGGATGTGGAGGGGAGACTGAGTGAGGTTTCTTACCACCTTTATGGTTCACGATCTCTGTTACCATTAGTTAGAACAGTATTTCTAAAACTGGAATTTATTAGAGCAGAGATTGGCAAACCTTTTCTATAAAGAGCCAGATAATAAAATTTGTAGGCTTTGCAGATCTCTGTTGTAGCTACTCAACTCTGCTATCCTATCACGAAAGCAGCCATAGACAGTAGGTCAGCAAATGGGTATGGCTGTGTTTATTTATAAAAATAGGTACCAGGCCAGATTTGGACCAGACCAGTGTAGAGTCCCAAAGAAGTATTTAGGGGAGTCTGCTTGATATGTGTGTGGGAGTTTTAAATTTTAATTTCATGCTTTAATTTCTGTAATAATTACAAAAATGATTTTACTAGCAGTAAAACCTAAATGATTTTGACATGATATATGGAATTTGAAAATATTTTCCTAAATTAAGACTCTATTTTCTTAAGTCAGAATTCTCAAACTGGCTTTGGGCATCTGCTGCTCATATTCTTGGTGGCCTATACTTTTTTTTCATTTAAAATTCTCCAAAGGGCCTGTCATAGATGTGTTACTCAAATAATAAAATCATGGAGTTGGACCTTATGGCCCTGTATAAGCAATGATATTTTGCTGCTCCCTGCAGTTCCACTGGAGAATTACTTCAAAGGCCAGATATGCAGAACTCTGGCTGTATTTTTATTTTTTTTGAGCTATTTGTGGTTTGGTTAGGGAGGGGACAGGAGATAAGAAGCCACATACCAGTGTGTTTGGGTCACCATGGATTTATATTTACAACTTGCCTCTCTAGAAAGAGAGCTAAGCACTTTTGATGACTGGTTAAATTGTTTTTATATTACTAAAACTCTAAAAACTAGCTCTGAATTGGTTTGAAGATATCTAAACTATACAAAGAGCCAAACAAAGAGTTTCTTTGTTTCCTTAAAAAAAAGACTTAGTTTTCTAAACACAGTATCATGTACTTTTCTCATTTATCAGGATGTTTTGAGTCCCCTTTACTGCCTTTATCCTTTGATCCCTTGAGAGCCCTTTTGTAAGTCTTATTCCAAAGCCAGAGGAAACAAACAGGCTTCACATGGCAAGGCCAGTCTGGCTTTTCTCTGGTCTTTCAAACTCCAGTTGAAAAAGCACTGCCTCAAACTCTTATGGGTCTTCTTAGCAAACTCTACTGAACTCTTGAGAGTGAATTCCATTGGTTCCGTCCTGAAAGATTTTCTGATATTTGCCCTACTGAGAACTCAAGAAATTTTGAATTTTGGATGAATACTTTTAATAATTAATGGGAAAAACAAAAACCATACTTTCTCATGTTATGTAATTTTAATATAGAACATCAGAATTCAAGATGTGGGACTCATACATAAAATTTTTATGCTTGATGTTGTGTACAGATATATTAACTTAAATTCTAATGCTAACTTTAAGGTGTCTGAGATATATATATATATATATATATATATATATATATATATATATATATACACACACACACACACACACACACACACACACACATATATTAAAATATATATATATACACACACATATATAAATATTTTTTAGAAATATTTAAAAATATATATATATATAAATATATGTCATGAATCATAACCTTAGTAATAATATGGTTTTAAAACACAGCGGAGAAGGTTGAGAATTTAACTTGGCTCCTGCCCTTTTTCCCCCCAGGTTTTTTAAATAGCTTTGAGGAGTTACAGGCTGAGGAGTGTGGTATCCTCAATGGATGTGAAAATGGGCGCTGTGTGAGGGTCCAGGAAGGTTACACCTGTGATTGCTTTGATGGGTATCACCTGGATATGGCCAAGATGACCTGTGTGGGTAAGAACAATGTATATCTTATGGGAAATTATTCTTTTCCTGAGATTCCCCCATGGCCAGATCTTGATTAGTTGAGTAGAATTAAGATAGATTTGCAGAGTTTCAGTTGGGGAAAATGAGAAAAGTTCTGGAGATATATATTAAATACAGCGTGAATATACTTAATGCTACTGGACTATTATACACTTAAAAATGGTTAAAGTGGTAAATTTTGTGCTCCGTATATTTTACTCCAATTTTTAGAGTTGGTATCTCACCTAAAAATCTATATAATTGTAATATGGAGGAAAGGACAGAATATCCCAGGTAATTACTTTGACTTTTTAAAATTTAGTTTTCAGCTGTTACAATAAGTAGTGATTTTCCTGAATACTTGACACAGCATAAGGGAGTGTCAATACCTGAAAAAAAATACAACTTCCATAGGTATCATTTAGGATAAAACTCCTCCTTAAACTATCTTTCACACTGGCCTCCCTCTTTTACTGAAAAGAACAGTAAACATGCATTTAACCTTCTCTGTGTGACTCAGTGTTGTCTTTCAGGACCTATTTGCCTCTTTGCTAAAAGGCCCTTGACTTGACCTTTTTTTTTTTTTTTTTAATAAAAGTTTTTCTTCTATTTTTCTTCTCCCTCCTGAAGTAGTCCCGTTGCCTACTTCGGTTTTGTGAGTTTTAATCTGTGATGAGTCTGCAAAATAGATAATTGAGGTTCTTACAGGTGTTTCAAGTGAGTGAAAGCCTACGTGGATCTCATGTGGAAAGAAGTCTAAGAATGAACTGAAGGCTTTCAAGAGGCTGCTCAGAGAGAGATCTGCTTATGTTTGGTTCCCCTTGCAAGTCTAGCAGTTCTTCTATACCTATGGGAAGGAATTTAGAGTACAATAGTTCCTCCAGCTTTCTTGAGATTTGACTGTAAAATGTCAAGCTGGCAAAATGTTCATGTTGTGCTAAATAATAGGGAAAGAAATTCTAGAACCTCCCTGATAATCTACCTTCTAGAGATCTAAAAAGTCGCCTTTGGGGCCGGCCCGGTGACTCCCCTCACTCCCGCCGAGGGTTCGGATCCCATGTGGAGACCGGTTCCCGCTCACTGGCTGAGTGCGGTGCAGGCGCAACACTGAGGGTTGCGATCCTGTTGCCGGTCCCCAGTACAGGTGCGACACCGAGGGTTGCGATCCCGTTACGGTCAGTAAAAAAGACAAAAAAAATAAAAATAAAAAATAAGTCACCTTTGTCTTGCATGTATTTGACACACGATAGTGGGAAAGCTCACTGGGGGCAGCAGCTTGAGGCTGGATGTCCTTGTGC